GGAGCCTGCTTCTCCCTCTGCCTCTCTCTCTCTCTCTCTGTCTCTCATGAATAAATAAATAAAATTAAAAAAAAAAAAGAAATGCAGAACGTGATGGGGATTAAGAAGGGCATGTGTTGTGATGAACACTGGGTGTTAAATTCAACTAATGAATCAAGGAACACTACATCAAAAACTAATGATGTACTATACAGTGGCTAACTGAACATAATAATAAAAAAATTAAAATATAATAATAATAAAAAGAAATGCAGGGGTGCCTGGGTGGGTCAGTTGGTTAAGCGTCTGCCTTCAGCTCAGGTCGTGATCCCAGGGTCCTGGGATTGAGCCCCGCATCGGGCTCCTTGCTCAGCAGGGAGTCTGCTTCTCCCCTCCCTCTCCCTCTGCTGTTTCCCCCACTTGTCTCTCTGGCTCTCTCTCTCTGTGTGTCAAATAAATAAATAAAATCTTTAAAAAAAAAACAAAGGCAGATCGTGTGCCGGGTCAGAGTTGTGCTGAATCAGAAACTCTGGGGATGAGGGTGGGCGAGTCTGTGTTTGAACAAGCCGTCCAGGGGATTCTGGTGCATGTTCGAGTTTGAGAACCACTGACCTGTAGATGGATGGATGGATATGGAAGTACAGTCACAGGTACGGATGTAGGTACAGACAGAGGAACAGGTGTAAATACAGACACGGATACAAACATAGATATCGATAGACAGGCAGAGGTGTGGCTATATATGTAAATACAGACATTTGGAATTGCCACCACAGGATTTCTGCAGGGGAGCAAATTATTTCTTTGTACTAGGGATCTGTTTGGGTAAAGCCTGTTCTTTTTCTAGGCAATGGCTCTGTGACTTACAAAGTGAGAAAAATCTGCATTTGTTGAACATTTCTCCATGCTGTTCATCTGGTGTGCGCCCTGTCGCGACCGTCGCTGGGGCAGCTCCTTCTCTGAGAGCCTGGCTTGCTCCTCCCCTGCCTTTGCGCTCCTCGAGGCTGCTATCTTTGATTGGATCTGCAAGTGAATGGTAACAGAATTTCTAAGCCGGTGGTATCCTAAGCATCCGGTCTACTTTTCTGATTTCTTTTGTGCTTGTGTCTGCCCCTCCCGTCTTAGGTTTTGAGCATTATCTACCTTATTTTCAGCCAGCCATTCATATGAAGCACTGTTTACAGTGGGGATGAATTAGAAACAACATAAAGATGTGATAAAAGGGAGTTTTAAAATACATTATAGTAGATTTCAAAATAGTATGATACCATTTGGGAAGAAAATCTCAATATGCTAGAAAAATATTTGGGAGAATAGTCACGAAGACATAATCAGTGATTCTTGGATTATAGATTATTTTAATATTATTCATTTTGCTTATTTCTGTAGTTCTGATGTTTTTGGTTAGGAGCTTGCATTGCTTTTATAATAGGCAAAGGTAATATTATAAATTAACATACATAAAACAATAAAAATAATAAAAGGAAGGGATTATGATTTTATCTTCTTCTCCCCACTGCACCTTGATTTTAAGAGTCCATCAATTATGTCAGTTCTATTCGTTCATCAGTTTTCACATTAAAAAAATTACTGCTGGATAGTACAATTAAATGACAACTCTGCCCACGGAAATGACAGGAAGTCCACTCTAAATAGATCATTGATTTAGTCATTAAAACCATGTAGAATTCCTATTTAGGGAGAAGGGAATATTTAAGTGTATGTGGCCATAAGAAAATGTCTCCCTTTGCTTTTTACGCAAGATGTATGGTGACTTGTCATGCTCAGGAAGTGTTTTGAAGTGGATAATGGCTCTTTTCCTGATATTTGGAGTCATGTGGCTTAATCCTCTTTTGGAAGCCTTCCTTTGAAGATAAACATAGGCATTGGTTTTCGCTTAATTCTCCTTCCCTAAAATCCCTTTATGCTCTAAAATTCTACAGTTCCATAATGAGTGTGGATAAGCCGCAATTAACAAATGGGAAAATGAGCCATTTTATTTTTGTCCTGCACATAAAACTGAACCCATAGGATCTTGCCCCAAGGTGGGACCTAGGTTATTTGTCCAAGCTCTAGGATGCCCCAGGATAAAGCTGTGTGCTGTGTATGAACTGTGATGGTGGACCCCAGATCACTTTGATGCCCCTGGCAGATAATAACAGCAAAATCCACTTAAATCAGCTTAAATAACAGATAATCACAAGTATGGTGGGTTTCATCCAGCCACTCTGGATCTTTTTCCTGCCATTTTCTTCACTTTCTGTTCCTCGAAGCATCTCTAAGCCGGTATTGAGAGAACCTGCGGCAGTTGAGATAAAACTGACAACGTTTAGGCCAGTGGTTCCCAACTTGGGGTCATCCCCACCCCGCCCCCCACCACCAAGGGACACCCGGCGATGTCTGGAGACATTTTTGTTTGTCACAACTGAAGCGCTGCTACTGGCATCTAGTGGGGAGAGACCTGAGTCACTACTAAACATCCTGCAGCACACAGGACAGTCCCCCACAACAGAGAGTGACCCAGTCCAGAATGTCAGTAGTGCTGAGGTTGAGAAACGCCAGCATACAGGAAGAAAATGTTTGCTTTTCCTGCGTCTCTTGCTTACATTCAAACAAACATTTTGCAGAAGCCCCCAGCCACCTTTCCCTCAAGTGCCTCTGGCTGTAAGGAAGGCTGATGGCTTTAGGTCTGGGTTCCAGAATCAGTCATGGGCAGGAGGGGGCGGTATCCCCAAGATCAGCTCACTCAGCCCCAAACTACGTGGGAATGGCCACTCTGTACACTGTCCATGTGAACAATAAATGTACATCACGGATTGGTACTATTGTGTTATGAGGAAGAAAGTGTAATTCAGGCCTCATTAGGAATCCTGTGAGCTGCTAAGGAATAAACACATTCTCCATAGCAATTCAAGTTCTCACTGTGGGATTTGGGGAAGTTCTTCTGCACCTGTATTTTTTTTTTTTTCTGGGTCATCTGCATGAATACCTTTTTAAGAAAAAGATACAACTGGAAGTGACTCATTGACAATCCAGAGCTTGTTTCAAGAAATTGTCTTTACTGAGGAGAAGTGACTATTTTAGAGACGGTTTTGTAAAACCAATCTCTATACTGAATCATTTAGCAATTTTATTATTTTTACAGTTTTATTTACATAAGAAATCTCTACACCTAACGTGGGGCTCGAACTCACAGCCCTGAGATCAAGAGTCAGATGTGCTTCTGACTGAGCCAGCCAGGCACCCCAGCAATTTTATTATTAATTGAGGTGAGAGATGATGTTAGTCTGGACAAGGAGGGAACAGTGGAAATGAGGAGAAGAGGTCAGATTCAGGCACGCTTTGAAGATAGAGCCAACAGGCCTTACTAATGGATTGGCTGTGGAGTATGATATGGAGTCAGAGGGAACAAGGAGTCAAGGTTTTGGCCTGAGTCACTGGAAGGATGAACTTACCATTGACTTAGCTGGGGAAGACCAGAGAGGAGCAGGTTGGGAGGAAGTTGAAGAACTCATGGAATTCAGGAAAAACCAGCCACTTTCGTCATTTGAGCAAGCCAGGAAGCTCTTCCTGCCTTCAATTTTAATTTTCTTAACACTATCCACTTATAGCCTAAAACATAGTCAAGTTACAGGCTAAAGCACTTACCTTACTATTCTATTTATCTGGCCAAATGGTTCATCCTTCCCCTCCAAGGTGAGAAATGTCTGTTTCTTTCTTTCCAGGTGTATATGCAGGCTCTGAAAGATATTTACCAGAGATGACTTATTTTACCAAAAACGGCTACTGATAATCTGCATTTATGGGCCCTTAGTGAGCTTAATATCAATTAATAGTGTATGTTTTTCCTTTAGGTGAAACGTTATCTTGGATTTCTCAGAATTAAACCACACATTTAGAGAGTGGACACTGGATCTCTGTGATATATTTTTCTAAAATAATACATATAGTCTAGATAGAAGTAATAGCTCTCAAATTTTATTTGCATAACAATTTCCTGGAAAGTTTCTTAAAAATGCAGATTCCTGAGCCCCAGAAGGCCGACTGTGGTCAGTTCAGGACTGGACTCCAACTGGTCCATGTCATCCATTACACATCATTATCTGATTACAGGACCCAAGAACCACAAGCTTTCCAGGAGCCCACACAAATGTCTGCAAGCTGAAAAGGAAATTATTGGCTCCCAAGGCAGTTATGCAAATGCTTACCTATACATCTAAAAGCACAGTATGTATCAATTTCATTGTCAGTGAGTATTTTGAAACAATCTTATCTCATGTGAAAGCAATTTATAATACACATTTTTCTCTCTTAGTGAGTGTTCCTGAAATTATTACACTGATTACTTAAAAATCACAACCAAACAAGAATTCTAGGAGTTACTCATTGCCAAATCATGTCAACATCACAATTATAAAAATTCTTTAGAAAACTAGGTGATGGGCCTCAAAGGTAAGTGTTTAAATTGACACAGAATCCGTAGGACTCTACTTTTGATTAAAAAAAAAAGCATCCTCAGGTGAATCTGATTCTGATCCTGCACTCACACTTGGAGAACCTAAGGTCTAGGTGGATGTTTCATATCACCAAAGCATTCTTGCCTGCAGCCAGTCGTTTATCAGATTTTCTCAGCATCTACTATGTGCAGGCATGATGCCAGATGCTAGAAATACAGTGGTAAACAATATTTATCATTGTGCAACTTCCAGGCCAGTGAGAGAGACAGTGAATAGACAAGTGGGCAAGCATATGAAAGCAAATACAAGGTCAGATAAATGCTGAGAAGAAAACCAGCAGGGTGTTGACATCAAGAAACCAGGAAACATGGACTTCAGACTGGGAAGGCCGGGGAAGGCTTTTCTGAGGGAGTGGGATTACAGAATAAAGAAGGAGGAGCCAGCCCTGGGAAGAGCAGGGAACAGCATGGGCAAAAATCCCTACATTGGACCAAGCTTGCCTTGTCCAAGAGTGTCAGGAGAACGGGAGGAAAGAGAGAGGCAGAGGGGGGAAGGAGGACGTTGGCCCAGACCCTTTGGCACAGGGAATTCCGATGCAGCTGGATTTTACTCTAGGTGCAGTGGAAGCGAAGTGACAGTCTTTGCTTGCTTGCTTGTTTGTTATTGGATAAAGCTTGGGTATGGCATGGTACTTTGTGTAGTGGCACTCAGCTCGGAGCCAGGCTGCTTGAGTGTGAATTCCAGCTTTGCCTCTTAGAGGCAGAGTGACCTTGGACATGTTCCAACCTCTCTCTGCTCAATTCCTCACCTGCAGAGTGGAAGTAACATAAGGTAGTTTAGCATATTGAGTACATGATAAGCACTATGTACGTCTTAGTAAGGGAGATGTGTGTCTCGGATTATTCTGGTTTCCCCCTTGGACAATTCACTGGGCAAGGGCAAGAGCGGACACGGTTAGGTTGGTTAGGAGGCCGTTAAATTTGTTCAGGAGAGATAGGATGGAGGCTGGAGGGGGCTGATGAGAGCAGATTTGGAGAGGAGGGCTCAGATTCCTGATTTGTTTGGGGGGCAGAGTTGACAGAACCTGGGAATGGATTAAATGTGGGACATGAGGTGAAGGCAAGAATAAAGAAAAGCTGTTTGGTTTCTGGCTCAACGAATTGGGTGCATAAAAATCACCATCACCAATCATCATCAATAGCAGCAGCAGCAGCAACATTTATTGAGCGGGTGTGTGTGCCAGGCACTGAGATAAATGCTTTATAAACACCTCTTAAGATGTGGGAGGCTTAGGTACAAAGACATTTGCCAGAAGGGAAAGTCAAGAGTTCAGCATTGGATAAGTGAAGTTTGAGATGACCCTGAGATACCAGCTGGAAGGGTCAAGAAGGCAGTTAGATAGCCGACTCTATAAAACTCAGAGATGACTGGTTTGGAGATAATATTCACGAGTCATGAACTTTGCAGCGGAATTCGCCACAGTGTTCTTTTATGTAATGATTTGGGCTGTTTCAATAATGTTTTATTTCTTTTGGCCTAAGCCTTTTTTGAGCTCAAGGCTTGCTT